ACCAAGAAGGAATAAGTATCAAGAAATTATTAGCGATCAGCAAAAGGGAAATCGAGTGCTTATATTCAATATCCTCGCATCTGCATTTTTCACAAAACTAATGTCTGATGTCTTAACTATCATCCCTCATTGTTGTGAAAATTCTAGACAAAGCGACCTAAAATATTTTTAATACAGCTCTAGCGTAAAATTTGCGTTAACCCAGCAGAAAATTGGCAACTGCTTCTTGATATGAAAAAGTCGTGTATTGGTCCAGACTTTACTTCCGAGTGAGTTTCAACCCCTGCCAATTTAATTTCAAAGCGAATTTGATTTAAATTCACTCGGAAGGGAAATGCAAAACCTGCCTTAAAATTAACAAAATAAAATTAATTTTAAATTTCTAACCTCTTTATGCTTTGTCTAGCCGTACACCGATGTTTTTACACAACCAATTTCCTGAGTATCTGGTACTCCCGCTTTTTTTCTTAAATATGTATTTAAAGATTCCTTTTCGCACACCCCATTCTAATCCCTTATCAATTGCGCTCAAATTGATTTCGTAATCTCGTTTCCAGTAGCGCTTATCTCTCGTCACTCTCCACACAAAGGCGACTGAGCAAGAGTCTCCTTCTTAGACAATATCAAATTGTCTGGCTGGCTACAGCAGCTTAGCTTTCGACTTACAATTCCATTTGTGTGCTGCCTTCCGTATAGTGCGCGCATCTCCGGACGGCTTATTTTATAAGCGAGCATCGAAGTATCTGAATCAATACTCAGTGTTTCTTGTTTATTAATGAATGTTTTATTGTTCTTGTGATCGGCGCTAAAAGTGCTTCTGATAAATTGTTGTTGTTTACACTCGACCAGAAAAAAAGATGCTTCAAACGCGCACATGGATCGCGTTATCTTTTGTCTTATTTCTTTGCTTGTATTTTAGTGATGCGCTAATACAAGACGAGGACGATGGTAAACTAGCTTTGCATTATACGCAAAATAAAAGTTAAAATTAAAAATGTATGTATGTATATTGTTTTCTTTGTTTCAGCTTCATCAACGGAATCCTCCGCAGAGGTTGATCTTTCCAGCGATGCAAAAGACGATCATAATGTACGTGTAACCGAGAATCGTTTAGCTGCACAGCTATTCGCCGTTCTTGAGCACTTTAAGCAAGAAGATCCAGTGGGTCTTCCGGGTGCACCGATTCCAGATCCCATGGAGGTGCCGGATATTCGTAAAAGTATCGGCATGGGTACGTTGAGTATGTCCAAGATGAAAGCCTATGGACTGTCGAAATTTCGTATCGACTCTGTTAATGCGGACTTACAGCAAATGGTGGTAAGTAAGAAGAACTAAAATTAGGTATTAAGCAAATACTCTTCGAAGTTAGATTTTATTGCTGTTGCCTGTAAGATCACTGCGATACGCATTTGAAATTGCCGTTTGTAAGAAAGTCTAGCGAGAGAAAACTAAAGTGTATTTTTTTTGCTGATTGATAACAGGAGCTGTGAGTTTGTCAATGAAATTAATGATTTAATAGCTTGACTTACGTCAACATAACTAGTTAGCAGTGTAATTTACTTGATCAGCAGAAGGCTGTGCCGCCGTACCTGAGAGGCTGGAGGTATGTACCTACACTCGATAGAATCCAGGTCCGACACCTTCTCTGCGCAGTCACCACTCAGCAGGTAATCCCAAAATTCTGCGGTTAAAAAAGGCTCCTCCAATTGTGTCACAACATTAAAACCACAACTTAAAGATTGGTAATGGTTTACAGTCCTTCCTAGTAACTGCCTATAATACAATTAACCCATTTGAAAATTTGTTTTCATCGATATACATATGTGGGTAGATTCAAAACGTTTTGAATCATTGAGGGACTTACTTCGCTAATAGTAACTCCTGATAGATTCCTCTTCGCTTTCTTCTAACCGACATGTGCGAGATGGTATCTTACAGGGAAATCCCATCATTGCTGCTTGTATACCAAGGGACTGGTGCCACGCGTTAGTTTGCTATAATTCTAAACATTCTGTCCTTGATCTATTAAACAGATCGTAAGTTAATGTTTTGTTATAGAAAGTATATCGATGGCTGAGTGGAAGATCGACATATCTCGGCAGCCAGTTCAAAAACGCCCTATCTCAGAAAACTTTTCAAGAACGCCCTACTTCAGAATTTGATTGAAAAACGCCCTATTTCAGAATTTTATTGAAAACCGCCCTATTTCAGAATTTGGTTGAATAACGCCCCATCTCAGAATTCGGTTCAAAAACGCCCTATCTCAAACGAAAATATATTGAAAATAAGCTGAGATAGGGCGTTTTTGAATCGGCAGCTTAGATAGGGCGTTCTTCAAATAAATTCCGAGATAGGGCGTTTTCAATCAAATTCTGAAGTAGGGCGTTCTTGAAAAGTTTTCTGAGATAGAGCGTTGTTCAAAAATTTTCTGAGATAGGGCGTTTTCGAACTGGCTGCCGAGATAGGTCGATCTTCCACTCAGCCATCGATATGTACATATATAGTGAGAGTGCCTTAGACCAGCCGCCCACCCCTTCAAAAATGAAGGCTAATGTTTTTTTGTTTTTGGAAAACTCAAAAATGTGGAGGCGCTCCATCTTTTGGTCGCATTACGGACTTCCGATGTCGACCAGAAGTGGATTAAACTGACTGAAAGTCCATTTTTGTAAATAGGATATGTTTTTGCTACAAACTCGGAATTTTTGAAAAAAAACTCATATTTTGTTAAAATTTTTTCTAAGAAGTGCCTTTTTCAAACTCTAAATGACCTTCGAATTTCAAATCTTCCTGTACTTCTAAAATGAACGAAAATGTTTTTATTTATTTAATTAATTATTCTATATGTATTTTATAAATAAATTTATAAACGAAAATGTTTTTTATTGGAAAACGAATAAATATGAATTACCAAGTCGGGAATTCTCTATTTTTTTGACATATTACCGACTTCCAGTTTTGACCGTTAAACTGACCGGAAGTTCATTTTTTCAAATGCCCCAGGCTTGCTTTTACCACAGATTCGGATTCTGAGGACAAGAATACGTAATTTTTTTTTTGAAACTTTTTTTCTGGAATGGACTTCCGGTTAAAAAATAGACTTCCGGAAGGTTTAACCCACTTTCGGTCGAAAACGAAAGTTGGTAATATGACTAAAAGATAGAACATCCCCGACCTGGTCATTCATATTTTTTCGAATAACCGATAAAAGCAGGTTAGTTCTATTTAAAAAAAATGGACTACCGGTAAGTTCAACACTTTTCCGGTCCAAACCGAAAGTCGGTTATACGACCAATATTTTTGCGCTTTCCAATAAAAAGCATTTTCCTCCTGTAGGTACCTCCACTTGTGTACAACAAAAATACGTACGCCACAAATTGAAGGAGAAGCTCGGCCAAACACTTAGCAATAGTGTAAGCACCTAAATATGCTTATTATTACTATAATTATGTTGCAAATCGGTATATGTGACCACTTCTTTCCGACCAATCCAAGGTAATACATATTATTTGCCCTTTGGATTATTCCAAGCGTGCGTCCTTCTTTATATTGATAGAGACAGGCTCTCCTGCCTTCGCAAAATAGAGTTTAGAGGAGTTTTACAAAGTTTTACCTGGAAAAGGCGCCGCTTCCCAGATGAGTGGACGAATGGCATGATTATCGAAATTCCGAAAAAGGGCGACCTGAGGGATTGTGATAACTGGCATGGTATCTGAATTTTACCTGTTGTGGCGAAGTTCATGCGCGGGATTCTCCTGCACAGACCATATAAACACTGTAGGGATCATTATCGAGCAGTCTTTTGGGTAGTTCTGCGACATGGAGCAGTGCCCGAAGAAATCAGCGCTTTTATTAATGCTACGCACGACAAAGTTAGGTGTTTTGGCCTTCTTAAGATAAAGCTGTCTGAGGCATTCGAAGTGCGCAGTGGAGTTCGACATGGTGCATACACCCAACCCCTCTCTTCATTTTGGTGATTGGGAATATTTTGGTTGCTAAAATCCAGTTTAAAGATCAGGCTTTTCAAGTACAATATGCTATCGATACTACTCTATGGTTGCTACTCGTGGAAAGTCACCATTGCAATAACTAGCCACCTGAAAGTTTTTATAAACCGATGTCTTAGATTAATAATCAAAATTTTTTTCTCCTGAGACAATCTCAAATGAGAAGTTGCTCAGAAAAGCTAACAAGGAGCCCCTTAACATCTGGATCCGGAGGCATATTTGGAAGTGGATGGGTCACACATTGCGCAAAGAAGACGGCAGTATTACAAATAAGGCATGGAATGAAACATTTTAATCGGTTGAGGCAGGAGCCCTGGCAGTCCAACGAAACGTCAGGAAGAACAGTAAAGCGGGAGGAAAGCAACTCCTGTTAAGCTAGAATGAAATCTAAGAGATTGCCGCAAACTTAACCAGATGGCGCGCGGTCTTAGTGGAATTAAAGGACGAAGAAGAAATCGTATAGCCTTTTAAGATAAATAGAACTTCCACTGAGAAGATATTTGCATCCTTTCCCACACGTAGAAATAGTGAAGCGACTATCAGAGAGAACTTATACTCTATATAAAATCTATAGAAACCTTTAAAAAGCTTTTCCGGGGACCTCGTAGCGTTCTGCATATCCGTCTATCAAGATTTGTCCAGGGTGTAGGCCATAGAGATTTCCAGTCTGGCTTTTGGTCGCACCAAGAAATATTTCAAATCCCCCCACCAATACTGGCACGCCCCTTCTTGTATCGTGCTGGTGATCTCACATCAATGCCTGTTATCTCAGTTTTGGCCCAATACCACTGTTAACTTAGGGCTGTGCTATTATCATGTTTTTCATCCACGACACCAAGCAGGATATGCTCTTTGGCGACTGTTGCGACGGAAGGCCCTTGCATCATCGGATAGAACTTTTCCAGACCTTTTGTGTTGGCTTGCAGCTTCTTCTTCGGCTTATTGTAATAGGGCAGGAAAGCATTCGTCCAACTTATCTCAATGAGGAGCTCATTGGCGTGTTCTTCCACCAGATTCAACATTAACCGCGGCTGTAAGCTGAATACCAGGTTGGCATCCACTGGTTCCAGGAGTTATAAGGCATGAGCCCCTTTTAACAACTACACTGCCACTTAGTTTTTTACACCGGATGGTTCTTGACCCGTTTTCTTTATTAACCTGGTATGCAACTTACGTTGTCGTCCAGCTCAACCAAAAGCCAGGAAACGCGGTCGGACCAGAGAAAGAAAGCAGTGTTAGAAGAGTGAGTGAAAGGGTGAACAATTTGGGCATGTGTTAGGTATGTCGGAGTGTTTTTTTGGATAAAAAAGAGTTTGAGGTGCTAGATTAGCAGGGGTCTCACGAGGTAACTGAAGCTCATCTTCTACTTAAGCAGATAGTTACAGGCCGTGTACGGCATTGACAGGACGAGATTTCATGAAATCTCGCAGGGAAAGATCACTGAAGACCTGTCAACATACTGTCAGGTCCTATTGTTTTTATTGTTGTAGTAGTACATACATATCCACCAGACTTATGATTCATAATCTTTCTCGTCAGCATCGTCGCGGATTCCTTTTTGGTTGGGTCCAAAGCGCCCTTAGAATAAGATTTGTAAAAAATCCGCAAATTGGGTTGATTTCAGGGCTGGCCAAGCTCTAGGCCAGTTTCATCGAATAACTTAGGTGAAGATCATCAATCCATCATGATTTTCCCACGCCCGGTGTTAGTTTGAAAAGTGAATATTTCTGTGTAAACTAAACAGATCTCCCAAAGAGGCTACACGACTATCCAGATTGCTCGGGGCTGAAGTTTAAATCCTCCCAATAAAAATTTGCCTCGCTGTGAAGGTGTTCAGGTGATATTAAAGGACATCTAGAGCCGGTCTTAAGTAGATTGTTTTTCTGGGATTTTCTTTGTCTTTGCCGCATAGGCTTTCGTCGAGCCAACTGGGTAGCTTTTGCTGAGAAGCATGGAAGCCATGTGATTTTTAAATTGGGTTCTTATGGTACCTTAAGTACAGAACAACAAAGCCAAAAGTATCTTCTCTACTGGCGAAAGGACAATTATCGGAAAATATCGGCTGAGAATCATGAATAGGTAGTCTATTTCCGTGTGACCAAATATTTAAGCACCTACATGCATACATTGTCGCGACAAATAGCATTGAAGGCTTCTGACTTCTCGTTGGCCCTTTTTTTTGTCAGCTTGGGAATTATTTTGAGTTCTCGGCGTTTGGCATTATTCGTCGAAAGACGTAGTATTATATTCTCGGCTAATATAGCTCGTGCATCCCTTGAGGTCCGACGACTGCCGGTTATCGAATGATATCTACACTTGGTCTAAAGTACTTGGAAGGGTTCGATAGGAACCTCACAGTTAACCGTAGCTTACTCGTACCAGCAATGAAGTTTCAGGGACCTCAAGTGTTCTTGCCACTTTTCCTGACTTGTGTTGGCTTAACGGTTTCCGAATATCCAATTTGAGTTTATGTTCAGCTGTAAGATTTGGGGTCTGGTCAGGGTTCGAATCGTAACATACTGGCTGCGTTTCTTTATACATTCCGGATAATCCCATTTCACAGCCGGAATAAACAGAATGCGTTTGAAATATACGTCAACATATCATCAGGAACGTTCTAAAGAATAAATAAACAGAAAAGTTTATTCCAAACGTTCAGAATGCCATACGTCAACGTACTCTTTATCCCATTTAGCTTATACGACTGACGTATCACGTAATTTTATTTCGTATGGTTTTCGATCCGTGAACCGATGTTACGATTCGAGCCCAGTTAATGCCACGGAGTCATTCTGGTGTGTGGAACAGCCTGTCATGTGAATGGTGTTTTGATTGGAATAAAAATATTTGCTGAGGTGTGCACTGCGGTCAGGATCTGAACGTTTACATATTCCGATATGACAACACTTTCTATTTTCCACAACCTCTCTGGTGAAGTTTGTAGGACATCGTTTCGCTGTCTGCCGTGGGACAGGAGCACATTGTGCCCGTGGTGCATACAAGACATTGTAAGTTTGTGAGTGACCGCCTCATAGTCATTGAGTACAACTGCGAAACCCAGGACACCGCTTCATAGGTTATCAGGCCAATTCTGAACAGAAACTTCC